TAAAACGCAATATAACGGAATGAGTTGGTTGCCAATCCTATCACTTTCACTAACCATCTTCGGAACAGAACTGAATAGCTGACCATAAATCAATAGCGGCTTATACACCAGCTGAGTAATCCATCTTGCCATGTGACGGTCTGCATTATCATTCTGTAAAAGATATCGCAGACACGACCTCCAGCCCCTCTAGTCCTTGGCCGACAGCGGAGAGACAAAATTAATAATCCAAAACCATACTAAAATACATCATGAGTAGCACACAGATATATTTGACTAACCAACTCACCTAATCCAAACAATATCCTCAAACATGGTGATCCAACTTCATTCTCATAATACAAACAACAGCATTGTATTTAATAACAACTAACCTATGATAGATGCAAAGAACTCCAAATGTCCACATTTACCCACCATTAATATGTAATTGGTACACATAACATTCACGAGTGCCACTCACAGGTCAAATCCTCAATCTTTTATCTATCCATATTATACATTATATGATACTTTAAACGACACATAACACAAAAACATATAATAAGATTACAGAACTCAATGTCTCCACCAACTCACTATTGGCTTATGATTTTCAGGATATGGTCGACATCAAATGTGCTAATACAAATGAATACAAATTGGTATGCTAGAAAACCAACGAGCCCTCTTTACCGCACAGCGCATTCTCTAAGAGCGAAAAAGGTAAAGCACTTAAACATATTTCATTTGGATGCAGACATCTAAGCGCGTAGACCACAATCAGGAGTGTCTGAAAGAAACTAGACCAGCAGCACTAGAAAGGTAATAATAGAGAAAATGAGGCGCTAAGCAAATCCACCACCATCTTATGAGGAGACACTCACAACTTATTATTGAGTCATGCACTAATTCCTCCCAGTCTGCCAGAAGGTTCATGAGGTAGTCTCTGTTGAACCATAGATAGGCAAGTGTCTCTACATCCTAATGTCATTTATTAGACTAACACCTGCCTACACATGATGATGTGTACCACACCTGCTGTCAACCATTTGCTCCTTGTCCCTTGAAGTGCGGGTTGGAATGCAACACTGGGGGAAAACCTGATCTTCGTGGTGTGGATGGTCCCGGAACGTGGTTCAGAATGGACGTCCACTGTTGCTGCTCTCCTCTGGCACCGATGTAGAGGAAGCAGCCGTCCAGTAGATGTGGTTTTTTATACTGTGAAGCCACTTCTTCAGTTTCTCACACTCCTTGTTCTGTGAGATCTTCAACAGTTTCTTGGACAGTCCTAATAATACAAAAAGCTTTAGAGTCTTTCACATATACATACACTGTGGAAAGTGTGTCTGCAAGGACCCCTCTGCTGTGGTTTGCACATCCTTCTGCCCTTGAGCATGCACACACACACACACACACTGAAACACACTGTTTAACGTTCTCTCTCTCACTCTGATACACACAGACACGCACATGCTGTTGTTCTATTCTCTAAAAAAAAAAACAGTGAAAAGGCATTTTTGGCAACTCGTGTAACATTGGAGTTTTGTCTTTTTTGTCACTGCTAAAAAGTAATAATGCAAAAAAATAATAATCTCTTACTGACCTGCAATGATAGCAAATATTGGGTTGCATCAGTTATATGGTGAAAAAAAACACAACTTTCCCCCTAGAAAGTTAGTGGTAATATATAAATATATAATCTAATTGGTATTTAAAGGGTTAAAATTCTGGAATTCATTAAAATTTGGGATTTCATGATCAGGACTGATGCCAAATTAAAAAAATTTAACCAGTGAAAGAAGCAAATTTGTGCATTTTGTAAAAGCAAACAGGAGGTGGCCATTTTTGGCCACGAACAAGCTGAGAGGGAGTTTTATCTACTTTGCCTTCCCTGCACAAAAATAACAATGCATAATAATCAGTGTTGTTGTTAATCAGTTACATATCTCAGACTGTGTTATTAATAATACAAGAAAAACCGATAGCACTGAGAAGATAGGCAGTGGTCATTTTTGTGGTAGTTTTCCAACAAGCGCATTGTGCAAACAAATTGGCATTTGAGGGATTAAAAAATTAAAAAGGAATGGATATTTTGTACTTATGACAAGAACTGATATTAATTAAAAACGTTATGCAGTAAAAGCAGCAAAAAACATACAACATCTAAAAAATTACAGACTGAATCTGTTGGTGGCCATTTTTGGCCACGAACAAGCTGAGAGGGTTAACAACATGTCTGTACTGTCACTGTTTATCTTTTTTTGTTGTGTTAAAAAAAACAATTAAAAAAGGTTTGATTTCTATCTTGGTTTCCATTATTTGACCTTTGCTGTTATCATCTCCTTGTCCATCTCCAACCAATCAACTCATATAAACAAACATCTTTTCTTTTTACTTTTTTCGAGAAATTATTATAACGCCGTGAACAACAGGATGAATATTATTGAATTGATGCTTTTTGTTTCTTTAGACTCATCCAACACACATCTGAGTGAGAAAAAAATCTCCAAAATGCAAAAAAGCTTTCGTTGTAATAACAATTTTTTAAAGATGTGCAGCAACAAACATTTTGAGATAAAAATGCCCTTAAGAACCTGAAGAATAATCATTAAACAGTCTCAGCTTCCGTACAGTTCCTCTAACAACAGTGTAACAGTGTAGCAGTAATAGTTCATACAGTCACAGTTTAGCTCATTCTTGTCAAGTAAAAGCAGAATAAAAATCATTTTACACCAAATCATCAATGTGTAATGTGTGTACACATGTAAAACAAGAAATCTAAGCTTAACTCAAGTTTCAAGTCAAATAACGACAAAAGATTTAGTGAATTTACCACATGAACCCAAATGTTAATCTTTACACTGTTATATCCACAGATAGAGAAATGAAGATACTGCGTTCTCAGTTTGATGTGCGTCTGTGCAATCGCAATATCAACTGTCACCGTTTAATTAAATGGGTTTGTAGAGTTCTTGTCCACATCACGTTTCTAAAGAGAAATCCAACAACGCATCAGTAAAACGTTTAAAGTGGACATGAAACGTGCATGTTTCGGCACAGGTAGTGTCAAAACATGTTAGAAAAAACACATTGCCAAAAGTATTATTTTAAAAAAGTTGTTAAAACCACAGATATTACACACTTATTTTTGCGATTTCTAGCTAGCTAGCTAGCGAGCGAGTCACCATTTTGGAGTGACGTCATTGCCTACGTAGCGGGGCGGGTTAATTCGCTGTGCGGTCGATTACACGCTGGTTTGAAAATGGACGAAGACAAGGTGGAGAGAGTTGCTGATGTCGTGAGTCAGCTGGCGTATGCTTTTGAGCCTATTCGACATGGGGCAAGAGCAGTGGTACGGGTTGCAGACGCAGTGGAACCGGTGCAGTTGGGTGAGGAGAGGATCAGCAACACTACCTGGTGTCGTTGCGGACGCTGCAGGGCAATGCTGACCGTATCCGAGTCAAGCTGCTGTCAGGAGGCTGGACCATGTGTTGCGGGGTCACCTCTGCATCACCATGGTGCGAAGTTTCGGCATGTTACGCCAGGAGGTGGACGTTTTGGAGGTGGCAATGCTGTCATTGAGAGATGTCCGAGCGGAAACCCTGGAGCGTCCTATCAATAGCTGGTAAGTCAAACTAGCTTAGTGCCACA